ATGTCCAAGCACAAGTATCTGTTTCCAAGGAAGGGAGAGTAACAGCACTGAGAAAGGATTGGTATTTTCTACATTTTTAACTAAAAATAAATACTGATTTCTCTAATACATACAAATTTAAAGTGATATTTTTACAAAATACGAATTTAAAATTGGGTTCCTAAAAGCATTATACTACAAACTCAATACAAGCAATTTTTGGAACCAGTGAGTATCAGCTCCTACGGACTACAGGATAGCTTAGACCTCCCACCCTTTTTCAGTCTGAGGTCCTCAGCAGGAGCAAAAATTAAGGCTGTAGGCAGAGCTAGGTGTATATGATCAGAAAATGAGGGGCTGACATACTTACGATATCATTTGGAAAACAAGTGTAAAGTCAGTGAGATGATAATGTTGCCAGGAATAACAGCCCCCTCCCCCAAAAAAACAGGAAAGCTGGTAAAGGATTTTGATGCATACTGTGGCACCACTCAGAGGAAGAAAGGGCATCATTTTAGCCACATAATAAAGCCAAAGAGAAAATAGAAATTTACATAACAAAGTTGAGAATTCCAACTATAAAACTCTTCTGTGGAATTACACTGACTTCATAGCATTTGAGTGAAAATTTTGACAATAAAGATGCACAGCAAAGAAATTTCAGCAGCTGACAGAAGTTCTTTGTCCAAAACACTTAGGACCCCTGCGCTGACTAGAGACAGAATCAGACACGGGAAGTGGTACTCCAGACTTCGGGGGAAACTGCTCAATGAAAATCTACCTTAAAGGAATGCCTTCAAGGATGAATGCTGCACTGCCCAGGGAAAGGACCAAGAAAATAACACCCCCGGGAGCAGATCTCGATCTGCTTGGCCTGGCATTACCCAGCCAGCATACACAGTTCCAGCCAGCGCCTGCAGGGCCAAAAACCAGCCACACCACATGCTGCCTTTTCTCCATGCTGCAGTTAAAGGATGAGGGACAGAACTGGGGTTGTTTCAGAAAGGAAACCGAGGGGAAATGACCCGAGAAAACAGGCCTACACAGGCACAAAAGACAATAACAAAAAACATGAACAAGGATCCTATGACAAAGACTTATTACTGGGAGGGAGAAACAGAGGCTGGAAGCTTGAATGTGGAAGATTTCAGTCTGCAGATGTAAGTCTTAAATGCTAGCCGTGGCTGCAGCATAGCTAAATAGCATATTTAATAAAGAGATGATTTAGCTGTAGAATCCTTTTCCAGTACTAGGCTCACAAACAACAGGCGCTCACATACAGAGAAAAACAGGTTGAAACAAAAGAAACAAACCAGCCAGCCAGTATATGTTTTACCCAAAGCATTTACTTTCAAAATTTGTTGAAATCTTATCTTTCCCAATATATTTGCTCCTGGAGCCGACATTTCTATTTGCATGTCCATAGACAGCAACTTATCAAGGGTCTGCAGGCTTTAGACTTGCATCTACATTGTTTTGATTTGCAAATACTGCTCAAGAGCATCTTTTTTCTCTCATTGCCCAGTTTCAAGCCACATATGATTAGCTCAGAGATCAGGCAGCACCAGTTTCCAAAGGCAGGGCATTGCCAAGTACGTACTCAGTCTTCCTTCATCCTCTCCCTTGAGAGTGCCCCTCTTGTCTCTTTGTCCAAGCTGTATGTAAGCAGATTCTTCCTAAAATTTCTCTCTCTGAAATATAGACTCTTACACACTGCTAGCAATTTCCCCCAGGCTCTTTTACTGTGCATCTCAATCACTGCAATGTCCTTCCTCAGCCTGGACAAAAGCAGTCTGTTACCTCTGGTATTTGTTCAAAATGCTGCTGTAAAGTTCATTTTTTGAGGCCATCGTTTGACTGTGTCATTCATACCTGTGCATCCCTCCACCGGATACCCTTTCCTATTTAATCAATTATAGCTGCTTACTTTCATTTCCTAGACACTTCAAAGTTTCTTTCCTGTTTCAGTCCTTCTCCAAGCATTTCTTACGCTGTATCCAATAGCTCATTAGGCTTGCCCTGCATTTCCTACTTGTTAAATGTGAGCATCTTTATGCTTCTTTCCATGCAATACTTCTCTATAAACATCCCTGAATGAATAGTATGAAACAATTGAAAATTATTACTTTCACTACATTCATTGTCTGAGTCTTAGATTAGAAGCACTGAGGTTCTGAATTCAAAATGCTATGAAGTAAAGCTGGATGAATAATTCATACCATGGAATTTATTTAATGAATTTTGCTTCATTTTCTGTTTACAAAAAGATGAATTTGTTATTCAGAAGCACTCTCCAAATAATCTTTGCAAATTATTCTTGCCATGTTGCTTAAACACAAGCAAATTTGAAAATTGGTCTGTTTAGATTTATATATAGGTCACATGATAAATTTCTGTAGCCTGGTTACAGGAACATAACTTAGAGTCAGGCTACGGCTACAAATACTGGTGACTACAGATTTAAAATTCACTATTTGACAATAATTTCTAAAATAGAAATAGTTGTGGTGGTGAACATTTCTACCAATAAATTTAGCTTCCACAATATCGTCTGACACAAATGAGAGAGACATAAACACAAAAGCTATTTTTATTTTAAAATGTAAATGCTTTTTTCCAAAAGAATTGTCATTTTATTTTAAGCCTGGTTCTCTAAGGGAAGGAAGCTTCCACGCCTGAGTTTCTCGTTTTTCTGTAATGCTCAACTGACTCACTTTCACTTAACCCCATAGTAACATTTCTTAGACTCCTGATTAAAAAATATTTGAAAAAAAGACGTGGAAAAAAAAGGTAGGGAGTTCAAAGACATCAACTTCCTACCGGTTCAGAGGAAATCCATCTCTGCATAGCGGGGGGACGGTCGGAACAGGGTCCCCAGCTGCGGGACCGGCTGTAGTGAGCTCTCGCCAGCAGCCTCCGGCTCCGCAATCGGCAAGTGGGGCATACGCCCACATCTCCACACCAGCCACAGCGCCTGCCGGGGGGCTGGAGGCCGCAGAGGGGAGCAGCGGGGTCTGCAGGCACATTCAGGGGGACGGGGGAGCAAAGAGATGGAGGGAAATCTGGGACGAAGGGACCTGAGAGAGCATTATTAAAGTAGTCACTTGCAAAGCCAGTGCAGAAAAAAAGCAGTGGAGAAAGGGTTTGAGAGGTGTAAGACATCCTTTTGCAGAAAAACAGGCTTTGTTCATTCCCCTGCTTGTGGTATTACATAGTAGGGGGTTAATTTTTTGGAGTACTTTTTCCTGTCCTGGATGTATTAATCCTACCTTGCCTATTTCATCAGCTATTATCTTATTTCACTGGTCAGGACAATACTGCTTATGCAGTGGCACACAGTTTGGTGAAAGGCAATAAACCATGATCCAAATGACATAATATTCATGATTTATGTATAAATATTCCTTCTTAGTGTTCTCACAGGGCTCAACCAACCTTCCTTCCAAACAGGTCAGGGAGTTTGAGATACTGCATTTCCTATTCCCATGCAACCGTAGCTTTCAACAAAGAATGCCTTGAATGCCTCAAAACAGTTAACTAAAATTAATCATCTGGGAAAACACTAAATACATCCATGTACCAGATACAGCATGTGAAACAAGGTCACTAGATACCGCTTTTGACCAAGGGTCAAAAACTCTTCCAGTCCCATTCAGAGCTGGGGTTCAGCTTCAGTGCAGGCAGTGGATACAAACCCAGATCAAACTTCTGATTTTTTCTGATGATACCACCACAGCAATTTTCAAATGAGGGTTCATGCCTCTCGTTTTTGTCCTCTCCCAACATGTTGTTTAGCTTTTGAGCAGAAGTCAGTAATACCAACTTCTAGCCCAGGAGCACAAAACTTACTCACAACGTGATCCTTTGCTCTGGTAAACAGTCCTACCAACCACCTCTATACCATGTGCGGTCCTACCTGCAGTACCCATTTCAACTCTGCAGCAACAACAGCAGTTATGACTTAAGTAGATAATGAATATTATTATATGCCTTTTAAAGTGCATTAGAGGCTAAACACTAAAGGGATAGCACTCCTGTGAAGACTCCTTCTCTATAGTCTATCAATCAACAGATACTGTTTGGAACTGTTTGAAAAAACTGCTGATTTCAGATGGAAAAGAATTTCAACATATAATTTTGTAACTATATCTTTTTTTCTTTGCTGTAGTGTTGGCATCATTTCTCTCTTTATTTTTAAGACATTTGCTCTGCTTTACCTATTAAAAAATTGAAATATATTCTATATACAACACACTGTCTGAGATTTCACTGAATCATTTCACACATAAAGAGCTTAGAAGCATTTGTTAAATTCTATCTATCTCCTCTCTTTTTTTCTCTCAAATACATAGTGGACTTCACCTCTGAAGAGAAGAGAAGGTGATGGACTCTAAGATAGAGGACCAACACATGCAACGTCTGCTTTCCTGCAGAGCAGCTGGAGGGCTGTGTCACACTCGTTCCATTTACTATTAATGGACAACTGTTCTCCTCTTCCTATTTTTCAGAGGAAAGTTAAGATTTTCTATTACAATTTTCTTAGTGAATACACTGTTCTCTATGGAACATTTTTTTTTTCAGGGAAAAAAAATGCCTAAACCCCAAACATTCAGGTTTCAGCTGAAATGGAAAGTATTTGAGTGCCTTCCAGGAGCTGCAGCTTGGCCTGGGATCATCTTTGTAGATTCCATCACGGTAGTACATTGTGCCTGATGTGTCACCTAAAAGTAAACCATGCTGTTAACATAGGAGGTGTATTTCCCTATAGGAAAATGGGAATATAAGACATATAATCCCATGCAAACCATGACGACAGTTCAATGTCAAAGTATCTGATTTTCAGTGGAAATATTTCCGATTTTTTTTCACCTAAAACTAAAAGTTTTGCAAACAAACAAATAATGGCTTTTCTCACTTTGACAGGGCACATCTATAATTTAGGAAGATGGCTACTGGGAAGTTTTTTTTCTTTTTTTCTTTGTTTTAATTAGATTTAGATAACTTAGCAATAAAGCTGTTACCTTGTATATGTCTAGGAATCCACACTGATGATCAAATCGAGTGTAGAGCTCATTCAGCATGCTGATGACCTGCATGGGAGTGCACTGTGCGCAGATGGCAGTGAAGCCCACGATGTCCGAGAAGAGCATGGTGACATCATCGAACTTCCTGGCCTGAACTTGCTGCCCCTGCCACAACTGCTGAGCCACTTCCTCAGGGAAAATAGAAATCAGAAGATCTACAGTTTTCTTTTTCTCCTCTTCCAGGGCTTGGTGAGTACATTCTAGCGTTGCCTTCAGTTTATCCATTCGTTTTTTCAAGCCGTCTTGAGCCTTTGCTTGCTCCCCAACCAATATGACATCACGAGTAGCATCGTGGATAGGTATGTCTGAAAGATGGAGGCCTCGGCCCATCAGTTCATCCAGCTTGTCCACACAGGGGGAACCCAGGAACAAAATTGAATTTGATTCAGGCACATGAATCATTTGTCCTTTAATTTCCATCACCTGCAAAATAAAAGTAGAATTTAGACAAGTAAAAATTATGTGAATATACATGGATCCCTATTTTACTTGCAGTTCAGCGCATTGCTACTTATCTGCCTTCCACAGTCTCATTTCCTTCTCAGCTTAAATTATAAACACAAAGCCTTTTATACTCACCTGTTCAAATAATGAGACTCACACAGTCTAGTCACCAAGGTGAGTCAAAAACTAGCCTATACTGCTACAGTAATATCCTCAAATCAGATGTTAGATTCCTTTTCAGCTCAATTAAACAACAAAACAACCACGATAACACATATTTCTCAGAATGGGTGTAAGTAATGTTTCTAAATTTTGCTCATGGAATGTGCCTGGCCTGAAAATCAAATTCCAGAGTAGCTCCTTCTCTGTTAATTAGCTATAAATTACTTTAAAAAATAGAAAAAAATTAAAAGGAAATGACAACAACTAGCTCCAAGCAGGCAAGTGAAATGGTGAAGCAGTTTCTGTCTTTTTTCAGTGAAACAGCTACTAAGCTATGGGTGGCCATGTTACAGAGGAGTCAAAAAAGAAAAGACATGAGAAAGAACTGTGTAACAGAAAAAGTGTGTCAACGCTCCTATTTTCTATTTGTCTTCTCATACAGGCAGCCTAATCAAAGGGCAACATTATCTGTTAGAATCTGTGGATTACTTGCTGATATTCAGTCACACAACTTCTATTTGTAGCATGGAAGCAGGAACTTATTATAAGCAAAGGAGTTATCAGAAAGGATCAGGTGATTCTTCACACTGTTTTATAGAACCTTTAAAATTTTTTCATCTCAGTTCCGAGATCAGATTTCGTATTTCACTGTTAAATGGCTAGATGTCCCAATGCTAGAGTGCTGTCCACGGTGGACATGAACGAGACCCTGGCTTGTTACTTCTTGCACCAGTCCACATACAAAGCTACCAGACTGAAATGGACATTGAAACTCAACTGTAATTTTACGTTTGCAGTTTGGGGCTACATTCTGATTTTCATGACCTTACTTGTAAGTCACATAAGACTAACTGTCTATTAAAGTAAAGAAATAAAGAGTCAATTTTTGCCTGAATATAGTATTCTTTTTAAAAAAAGAAAAAGAAAGCTAAGATGAACTTACATTTTTTGCTTAAGCAGAAAATAATTAAATAGGCTAAGCTGTACCTTTCTGTAAATACAGTCGCTGCAATAACCAATAATCATAGCGAATATTTTCATTCCAGGAGTGCACAGAGTGCAGGGTGATACTATGCTAGGTAATGTAAAAATATATAGTCCTTATGCAAAGGAGCTCATAGTCAAAACAGGCACACAGAACACAGAACAACACACAAACTTTGTGTGTTCAAGCACAGAGTTCCCTTACTGGTTAGGCACAATAATGTCTGAATCCTGCATTTTTCTATTACATGCCATCTACTGAAATAAAAAGATCTCCTCCAGTCACCCTTTCTTTCATCAGGCAGGCATTCCCTCACCCTCACATGATTCACTACATCATCTAATCCTCCTCCCATCCACAATCCCCCACAAGACAAAACAGAAAAACCTCAAGCAGAAAATCCAGTGGTGTCTGCAAGAATGATGTGAAACAAGAGCCCAAAGGCCTGAAAGTTCCTGTCGAGCTAACATGGTACTTTCCGTGGTTTGGGGAGATGTCATGAAGCTCCTGTTTCTATTAGGGATTTCTTATATCAAGTAATATGCCAGCATTGCATACCCCATTCTGAGTGTGGGGTCTGAACTCATCCTGTCCCCATGCCCCTCTGCCCTCCTCTGCCTCCCCAGAGCATACCTTAACCAGCAGGCAATCCTACAAATGTTACTTCTGACATCAGCATGGGAATTCAGCATATGAAAGATCTTCAGCACTTAAAATTGTCATTTTTCTAACTCACATTCCTTATACACCCACTAATGTTTACATTTCTAAGGCTTAGATCCCTGGCTTTGTTCTGGGAGAGCCGTCTCTGTGAGAAGGTTGGTCAGACTGGGCAAGTTTAATGCTCCAAGGCTAATTCTTCTTTTAAATTTTTTAAATGTATGGCTCCTTACTTAACATGTATAGGAAACAGGGGCCTTCCTCATGCGTGCAGCCTCATCCTTTCAAAGGGTATACACGAAATTATTTTAACTTTGAAGTGCAAATTGCGAAATGTGAGATATATGGCGTGGCCATACATCAAAAAAATTCCTTTCTTTTTTTGTTGCCCTTTTTCAGGGAGCTTTTCTGATTTGTGTGCTTAAGGCATCACAGATGTACAAAACAAATGCATCTCACATCACCACTTCACTCCTCCATCTCCAGGTGAAAATAAGAAGACACTTTGGGAGGAAAAAGCGTGACCTTGGACCCTGGCTGAGCCAGCCTGGCCAGGGGTGGGCTTTTTACCAGCACGTCAAGGCACCTGGCCAGGAATTGTTTCTCCAGTTCTTTGCTGTGAGACTAGAAGAAAACAAATGCATCCCTCTGTGTTCTTGCTTCTGCTTTGTCAAATCAGGCTTTGAACTCTTCGATGTGACCCCTGAGTGTCTGCGTGAATACACTGTGCCAACCTTCCTCAAGTGGAATCCTCTCAGGAAACACTGGCCTAGTGAATAACAGACCAGATAGGCACTTTGGAGTCCTATGCTCCGCTTCTGGGTAACCCCAGGCAAATTATCAACTCTGAATGCTTATTTGGCCTTTCAACACAGTGGGAACAATGACACTGCCCTCCCTGCAACACCCTTTAAGACTTAGGTGTGACATGCAATAGAAGACACAGGTAATCCTGTAAAATGCTTAACTTGTCCTTCTGCCCAAGTGAGCTGAGCCCCTCCACCAAGACTGAGGGCTTCAGCATGTTTTCATCATGTTCAGCATGTTTAGAAATTTGTGCTAAGATAATCTCCCTGCACAACTACTCAGTTTCCAAAGATGTCAATGCTTCAGTGCTATTTTGTCTTTACTATCCGGATATTTTTATCACTTGCTTTGCTAAACAGAAGTTGGTGGTATTTCCTATCATCCCTTTCATGTTATGTTAGTGGTTCTGATGCTCTGCTCTTTCTTGATGACTGAGGGCTCTTAGAAACCGGGCTGGTAGTCTTTTCAAGTAGCCAAATCAGGGAACAGGACAGCAGATGCAAAGCTGCCTTCACTTGCCTAGGGAGAAATAATTCTGTCTTGTAAAGAGCTAAGTGCTGCATCACTCCCCCAATTCTTTGCAAAGCTCTTTTGTTCCAAAGAAGTCATTATCAATGCTCTTTTTTACCTATGTGGAAACTGATCTCCCAAGGTCCACCTAGTTTCCCAGTCGCTGGACCACAGTGTTCCTGATATGATTCCAACCCATTCTAGAAGGCTCTGAAATGCAACTAGGATCCAGCACAACCTCCAGCTCTTTCCTTTGGACCTTCTTGCCTCTTAGATCCTTCTCTGTACCTTGAAGTGTAACTAACTGAATTAAATGGGACATCGGATTTGCCTGAAGCTTGCCATAGCATGTCTCACTTTTGCGCAACTCCCCAGAGCTGGACTGCTTTGTACCCAGACTGTAAACCTACAGGCAGTCAGGACTACATCATCTGTCTTTCCTGTAAGCAGGGAAAGACTGAAACGTTTTTATCATCAGTTGTATTTCATTACTGCTCTATTTCATTGCTTTCCTGTCTGTTTAATTACCTTCTCCCAGAATAAAATGAGAATAATTCCACTGTTTTCAGAGGACATTCTCCTGATCTACAGTGGTATAATGGAATAGAGCACATTTTGAAATGAGCAATTACATGTTAGTGTTTACGGGATTATGTTCCCGTGAAATGGTGGCACAGCCTTAGTAGTCCAGGAATTAAAATAAAAAGCCTATCAATCACTGAGTTTTGCTTTCACTGCAAACCCACTGCAAAGAAAGGGGAGCAAAGAGAAGAGGCCCTGACTCTCAGGGGTTCTTTCAGCCTCTCTTTCCCCAAGAACTACCCAGGGAACGCTGACAGACTCTAAAGCTGCTGTTTTAGAACATGAGAGAATATCCTACTGTGCTGTACACCAACAGCTACTTCATTAGGTACACATTATCCAGGCTCTGCATGCCCTGGATTCATGCCATCCTAGGCTTCAGTATGGATCAAAAGCTTATGAATCAAATGCCAACTCCATTGCCTAGTCTTTAAGGAAAAGCATGAGGAAAAGCATCATCTGCTGCACTGATGGAAGACAATACTCCTTTTTACAGAAACAGGGGTTTTGGAATACTGACTGAGAGAAGGTACATACATCTTCTAGGAAAAACTAACAGGAATAGGAGATGGTATTATTAAGGAAGATTTTGGATTTAAAAAAAATTTCTATGTGATAAGGCTGAGTTCACGGATTATGCACCTTTTTCAATCTCCCTGTTAATAGCAGAGATTCTGCTTTGATTTTGATGAGTACATAATCCCTCCTGTATTGTGATTATAGCCTTTTTATTTATTTATTTATTTATTTATTTATTTATTTATTTATTTTTTTATGGGGAGTGGGGAAGGAAAGTTACGGTGCTAGGCCACAGTTTTGTGATCAGTTACACACATGTGCTTGACTTCATACAATAAAATAATTTAATGAGAATAAATAGAGATTCTTATTTGTTTAAGAGGTGTATAATTCATGAGAGGACTAGGGGGTGTTTGGTCAAAAATTAACCCATGAAAAATCAATCTGGACACCATCATACATTTAAAGATACAAAAAAAAAAACCAGCTCAGAAAACAGAAAGAATCACTGCATCCCAAGGTTCAGAATACAGGGTAACTTTTAAAAATGTGAGTCAGCTGCTGGCCCATAATTTAAAACAGCTGGATTCACTTCTCTGAGTGTCCTGTATGATACATGGCAGTATCTCAGGGACATTTACAGCAAGATAGTCCAAAGTACTTAGGCAGTTAGGAGCTTAGAGGGATTTTGTGCGCACTGGACAAAGTAACTGGTCACTTGCAGAACGAAATGTTATGATTCTGCTTGCTATGT